CAAGATATTACAGATGATAAACAGATACTTTCTTTTTTTAAGGTCTAAAGAAAGGCCAAAGAGTACAAAGCACTTCCAGTTCAACACCACTAAATAGCGATGGAAGCCCTACAGAGGATGCCAATTTAAAATAATTTCAATTCAATGCAATACGTATCAGTAGTTCAAAGACATAACTGGGAAGGAGTCTTGAAATACTTCAGGGTTACATACAGTCCTTCCATGCATAAGGTACTTATTTCTAATAAAAGTATTCCAACATTTCTTATTAAATAAAGTATCTTCCCTTGGACACCCAATTCATCTTTGCTCCACCCCACCTCCCAAATCTATGTCTGAGTTATCTGCCTGAGCAGTAGAGACAGCTGAGGGGAGAGCTTGACCTGCTATCTACCCATCCAGTCTAGTGTTTAGCTTCAAGTACCAGAGCAGGAGAACGGGATGGTGGTTGTTCTAAAAGACCAAGTCAAATATGGCTTAAAACAATTAGTTTTTGCCACCTACCTCAGCAAATTTTCCACCCAGCTTGGTGGGATAATCAGAGTGAACTTCACACTACTATCTGTTGCTGAATCAGGCCCTGGTCAGTAAGTCATACAACAGTCTAATTTATTTTTTTTTCTAACTCACATGGGAAAACATCTACCTGTGGTAAAGAGCTTTGAAGGAGCCACAGAAATATGTACACCAGGCATTTATAAAGTACTTGGCCAAGGGGAAGAGAACTGACATGGATATATACACTTGTGCTTTTCTGCCCCCATCTACATGATTGAAGTGTCAGTTTATCCAAAAGCCTCCAATAGTCTTAAAACATTTTCAGAAAAAAAGTGTTTGTGACTTCTGTCACTTCTGCAGTGTTTCCAGGACTGTCTTAATGTCTACAATGATAACTGTAAAAGAAAAATAATAATAATGATTTCTATTTAGAACTGACAATTTAAAGCAAATTAAACAACACTGTCCAAAACCAGACTGAAGTCAAGTTACGTATTCACATGCAGTTACTTTGGTGGCATTCAACTGAACACAGCAAACAGGATTGACTGATTTCCAGGCATAGAGTACATAACTCTAAATATACTGAACACAAGTAAACAGCACATACAATGTGCATATGCTATAATACATCATACCAGTAATTGTTGAGTATAGTCAGCAGTTTAAGGGCAGGAGAAACTGGTATTCAGAAGCATTTAAATTCATGTCTGCATTCCTCTTCTCCAAGTCAAAATGAACAGAACAGAAAACAAAAGTACAAAAAAATTTAACTTGTTCCTAACTACAAGAGTGAAATGTTATTTTGAATTAGTGAATTATGATGGAGTAACAACAGAAAATATTTCCAGAACAGCAGACTGATGACACAAATAGAGAAAAGGAATAACAATTGCTAGGGAAATAAAAAAAAATAATTCTAAGACTACTGATAGTATCAATTTATCTAGGCCAAAAGCTGTCAATTAAGTCCAACTATGACACTTAATAGAAACAGTAAAACTTGTCTAAAAATAAGACACAAAACACATTATCACAAGCATTTTATGTCGGCATTCTTAGGTGCTCTGACACACCAGAAGAAATTAAAAAAAGAGTAAAAGCAAGTAAGCAGACCTTGCTACCTGTCAAAAAATGCAACAATGTACAATCTGTAGAATAAATGTAATGTACTTGCATTAAGAATATTTATTTATTTCACAAGCATTAGAATTTACAAGTCAAATAAATTATGACTAAGAAGGATATGCAACTGCATCGAATTATTCAGACTTAACCAAACATAAAAAAAATTAAATTAAGACAAACATGACCAGAGACAAAATAAATTATATGGAGGCCAGATATGTGTTCAAAATTGAGCCATACTTCAGTTACTTTGCGGAAAAAATGTTAAAATTGTATTAAATTACAGTGCATCAGATCTCAAGGATAAATACTGTGGAAAGAAGTGAGGATAAGCTAAAAAAAGAGTAAAAGCAAGTAAGCAGACCTTGCTACCTGTCAAAAAATGCAACAATGTACAATCTGTAGAATAAATGTAATGTACTTGCATTAAGAATATTTATTTATTTCACAAGCATTAGAATTTACAAGTCAAATAAATTATGACTAAGAAGGATATGCAACTGCATCGAATTATTCAGACTTAACCAAACATAAAAAAAATTAAATTAAGACAAACATGACCAGAGACAAAATAAATTATATGGAGGCCAGATATGTGTTCAAAATTGAGCCATACTTCAGTTACTTTGCGGAAAAAATGTTAAAGTTGTATTAAATTACAGTGCATCAGATCTCAAGGATAAATACTGTGGAAAGAAGTGAGGATAAGCAGCATTTGCACATTCCTCTTAAAAAAAAAAAAAAAAAAAATTAACTTCAAGAATTGTCTCAATGTATTGATAATAGACTACATACATTCACTTCATAACAAGAAACTTAAGAACTAGAATACCCTAAGAAAATGTAAATGAAAGACAAAGAACAGATCTTCAAACTGCATATGGGAGATCACTACATTTCTGAGTGTCAAAGCAGAATTAGCAGATGCTACTAGAATAAACAAAATCTACTAAGAACTAGTCTATACTTAAGATTTTGATATTTTTTAAAAAAACTGAGACAGTGCACAAAAAGAAGTTTAAACAAGTCTCGCGTCTCCCTACTGTACTTAACTAGTATTACTCATATGGCACAACATGAATATGAAAAATAAAGACAACGTTAACATGAAAAGCATATGGTCAAATATACTGACGCAGCATAAGGAGCGGGTGTGTTCAGCCGGTGCTGAACAGCATTAATTATCCCTCAGTCTTTCCTTTTAACAAGAAGTGAAATGTACGAGAATAAATCCATAAATTAGGAGTCTACCACATGAAAATTACAGAAATATCTCACGACCACTGGTTTAAGACTAAAGTTTAGAAACTCATGGCAAAGAAGCTTAAATTAGACTTTGAAATTTTCCCAGAAACTTCCAACTGAAATAACTAAATGCACTTCAGAAACACTATGACGAAACCCCTGTCAAGGTTTTATTTTGGTTTTACACATACACTGTAAAAAACAGCCTTACCCTATTACCTTGTCAAACCTGCACTAAGTCTTGATCTCCTCGCCATACAAGCATACACACGGGTATTAACTTTCCTCGAAATAAGGCAAAATGCGGCTTTTTTCCTCCAGAAGAGGAAGTCCCTGCTTTCACAGGAGGGAAGTACCGGCTCTCCGTCCCCGGCCAGCACAAGGCGAGCTGCCGGCCCCAGCTCTCACACGAAAGCCGTTCCTGCAGCTGAAACCAGCAGCAGAAGGAAACGTCTCCTCCTCACCCCACTGCTGCTGCCCGGCATAGGCAGGCCGACAGAAAAAACAACAGCATCCTCCAGAAGAGGAAGTCCCTGCTTTCACAGGAGGGAAGTACCGGCTCTCCGTCCCCGGCCAGCACAAGGCGAGCTGCCGGCCCCAGCTCTCACACGAAAGCCGTTCCTGCAGCTGAAACCAGCAGCAGAAGGAAACGTCTCCTCCTCACCCCACTGCTGCTGCCCGGCATAGGCAGGCCGACAGAAAAAACAACAGCATCACGGGCAAATCCTCGCCAGACTGGACGAGCTGCGGGTGCCAGGCAGGGCCGGGCAGGGCCTCC